AGGTTAACATAAACTTATCTTGGCCAAACAAATTTATTTTTATAAGTTTACAGGAAATTTTAATTACTTAATTTTTCTTTATTATTTTACTAACGAGAGTAAATTCTTTGAGGAAATATTATCATTTAATTTAATAATACCATCTGGGGGAAATAAATGAATATATTGCTGTAACTCTCCTTTTGTAGGTTCTAAAGAAGCAATAAAAAACAATTTATGCCTTGTTACATCATTCAAAATCTACTCCCTTCCATCAAGTCAATTCCAACTCAGACCCACAGTTTCTAAGAACTTAAGTCTATATGGGACCAGACAGCCTCATATTTCTTCTGATGGGTGGTGGTGGGTTTGAACTGCTGACCTGGTTAGCAGCCCAACCTCATTCACCAAACCATACTCCACAATGCCACCAAGGCCCCTGCCATTCAAAATAGGTCTTTTTTTTTCAGTGCACTTTAATTTTCTCACCTGCTAAAGAGTTAAGCTGGCTCTTTTACTTTAGAAGACTATCTATGAAAATAAAAGCTCATCAAATGTTAGTTATGGCTTTTAAAAGCAACATAGAAACTCAGAGGCAAAATGAAACAGAAACCCATATAAACTCACCATGCTTATACACTATCATATAAAACAAGCAACCCAGCTTCTTAAATGTATACAGTGATTCTTTGCAGAAAAATTAGGTTTTAGAGAAACAGTAATTTTCCAGACTGGGGGTGGTGGGATAGACTCTTGGACTAAAGCTAAGTGTTGAAAATAAACAAATCTTCAAACCCCACTCTTGACACCAAAATTGTAGGGGGGAAAAGACTTGAATTCAAAGTAAACATGAAGAGTCTTATTAAGATCAGAAAGAGAGTTTTACAGAGAACCACAACGCCAGACAAGTCTGGTAATGTTCCTCCCCTGCCCTGCCTTGTAATTTCCAATTGTTAATAAAACTATGAAAACACAACTCACTCAGTGCTATCCAGTCAAGTCTGACTTACAGTGGCCCTTAAAGGATGGAGTAGAACTGCCCTTATGGGTTTCTGAGATTGCACATCGTTATGGGAGTAGAAAGCCTCGTCTTTCTTCCAAGGAGCTGCTGGTGGGCTCAAAGTGCTGACTTTGTGGATGGCAGCCCAACTTATAAAGTACTAGGCCACTAGGGCTCTTAAAAGTCACAAAAGGGAGTAGTATACTGGGGGGATTTTCTGGTTGAATAATGTTTAGGTGGCAGAATCTTGATTGATCACATTTGCAAAAGGGGACCTCAGGAGATAAGATAGTGATGATTATAAATTTTGTGGAACAAGATTAACCTTACAAGTATTTTCCAAGTCCAACGCTTATGTATTCATTTTTAAGGTGAAAAGGCTTTCAATAAGGGATTTCTAAGAGATATGGAGGAACCACTCAAACAGCTAGAAGCACTATATCTTCATCTACCAACCTTTGTTCTGATTCCATAGTGGGTTTACACAATGGGCTGCCTAACTATAAGATCAGCAGTTCAAATCCACCAGCCACTCTGGAGCAGAAAGATCTTGTAAAGATTTATAGTTTTAAAAACCCTATGGAACGGTTCTACTCTGTCCAATAGGGCTGCCTCTGTGCCAGAAATACCCTGTAACGATTTATAGTCTCAAAACCCTATGAAACAGTTCTATGTACTATAGAGCGGCTATAAGCCGGACTCAATTCCATAGCAGTGAGGGTGTTGGTTTTTTTTTTCATCATTAGCCATTTCTAATTACAACTGAAATGAAACAGACAAAGCAAGACTAGGTTCAGTTTTAAGAACTGCTTATCTTTTAAGCCAAGCTTTCTGGAGAGGGAGAGGGAGAGTAAATAGAAAAGACTTCAGCCAGGAGATTTTTTAATCACATCAAGGCCATAGTTTTGAAACGTGTTTCCTCAGCCTGTGTGACAGGCAGAAAAATGAGCCCTCAGATACATGCCTGGTGTCCACCCCTGTGAAGGTTAGATTCCAAGGCAAAGTGGACTTAAGGTTGCAGGTGGAATGATGGTTACTACGTAGGTGACCTTGAGATGGGGAGCCCTTCAGGGTTCTCCATGTGGGCCCAATGGAAAGAGTCCTTACCAGTGGAGGGTAGACTGGGGAATCAGCTAGATGGCAGCGTGAGGAGGAGTCTGCCTGATGTTACTGACTCTGAAGTTGGAAGCGGGGACACAAGCCAAGGAAAGCCAGCTGCCTCTATAAACTGGAAAAGGAAAAACAAAACCACATGGTCAGCGAGAGCCTCCAGAAGGAACAGTCATTTTAGGACTTCTGGCTTCCTGAACGATTGTGGTATTTTGCTGGGGAGTCACTTCCAACTCATAGGAGTTTCAACTGTTGGGACATTTTAAAGGAGTCCCGCCTCCCCTCCCCTCAGCGGCACAGTGATTAGGGCTTGCCTGTTAAGCGAGGTGAGTCAGTGACTCAAATCCACTGAGGGAAAAAGATGTGGCAGTCTGCTTCTATGAAGATCACAATCTTGGAACACCTATGGATCAGTTCTACTCTGCCTCCTAGGGTCACTCTGAGCTGGAATATTCTGGATGGCAGTGGGTTTGGTGTGGTTGGTTGGTTTGGGTTTATGAGACAGAATTGACTCAATGACCTTTTGAAAACAGATCCCTAGACCTGTGTTCTAGATGCCTCCGGATGGGTTAAAACCACTAGCCTTTCAGCTAGTAGAGTGCTTAATCATCTATGCCACCTTGGGACTCCTTTGGGATGGCAAGAGAATCCACCTCTGTTGTTTTAAACCACATGCTTGTGGTCATTTGTTACAGCAACCAGAGGGGACGAACCCCTCCTCGAGGGCAGGCGCAGACATCATGGTTGACCATGCACTTGTCAGGTGAAGACCCAAGGGCTAGGGATAAGTGCAGAAAGCGGGTGGTATGACAGGCCTTGGAGCCTCAGCCAGATGCAAAGAGCAGGCAGCAGGGAGGAAGGGAAGAGGAGATTGGAAGACACACATGGCATATGGGTGGTGGGAGGGAGGGAACCAGAGGTCCTGGTGGGCTGCTTGAATGTCCAATTCAGAGGGATGCCTGCGATCTAGGGAGTGGGTGGCTGAGGTGAAGGAGAGAAGCCCGTGGGAAAGCTGAGGTGAGAGAATGCAGACATCACCCAGAGGTGCTGGGACATTGTTGGGGACATTAGACACCAGGGTTAGCTCTTGAGAACCCCCACTAGCTGAGAGGGACAATCTGCGCTTGTGATGTGCGTTGGGGTGGGGTGGGGAGTGTTGGGAGGCGGGTATGCAGCGTGGGACAGAGCGCAGTGTTCCTGTGAGAGGGACATGTACACGTGGGTTCATAGACCAGGCATGTATGTGTAGGGGGATGTGGAGGAGAATGTGTCCGTCTGGGGAACTGTGTCTGTGGGTATGTATTTGTACATGTGTTGCCTGTGCAGGTATGTGTGCAGGGTGAGAGGTGTGTGCACAGTGGAGTGGGGATGCTGGGGGCAGGTGAGGGTGTGTACACCTGTGGGGGATGTGTAGCTAGGGGTGGAGGGAGAGCGAGATGTGAATGTGTGTGAGGGAATGTGGTGGGGACAGTGGGGTGTGTAGATGTTTGTGGTCAATGTAGAGACGTGCGGAAGGAGGGTGTGTGTGCACGTGGGGGGAAGTGATAGGGACAGTGGGGGTGTGCATATTTGTGGTCAGTGTCAGGGTGTGCGGAGGAAGAGTGGGGTGTGTGAGCGCGTGGGAGGACGTGATGGGGACAGTGGGGTGTGTAGATGTTTGTGGTCCGTGCTGGGAGAGTGGGGCGTGGGCGTGCGTGGAGGTGTCCGCGGCAGGGCGCAGGAGTGGGGGCGCTGAGGGAGAAAGTCCCAGTCCCAGGACGGTAGCCTAGG